TGTGTGTGTGTCGTGAGCGAGTCTCCGTCCTCGCATTATCTATGTCCATTATCGATAATCTCCAATGCACTTTTTCGTAAAAATGGAAAGTAGTGCAAATTACACGTTATCACCTCCCGTCCCCTCCCTCTCCCACCACAACCCACCACACCCCACCCCCTACAACCCTCCTCCCAAGAAAACCCCTTCCCTCCCCCCTCTCTCTACCCTTCTCCCCCCTCCCTCTCTACCCCCTATACCCCTCCCTCCCCCTCCTACCCCTTCCCCTCCCTCCCCCTCTCTACCCCCTTCCCCCCTCCCCCTCCCCCTCTCTTTCCCCCTCCCCCCTCCCTTCCCTCTTCCCCCCCTTCCCCTCCCCCTCTCTCTACCCCCCCTCACCCCCCTCCCCTTCCCCCTTCTCCGCCTCCTCAACCCGGTCAAGCGATTCGCGCCCCTATGAACGCGCTGAAACGGCGTGTGTTTACGTGTGTCTGCGTGAAACCATTTTCCGCGGAGACAAAGTAGCAAAAATCGGCGCGGGTGTCACCTTACCGAGGGAGTGAAGGGGGGGTGGGTGGGGGGGGTTAGGGTGCCAGGGGGAGGGGTGCCAAGTGATCCCAATGGGGGGGGGGGTAGGGCCAAGGGGGGGGTCAAGGGGTACCAGGGGAGGGTGGGTCCAAGGTGGAGGGTGCCAAGGGAATACTAGGGGGGGAGGGTGCCAGGGATACCAGGGGGGGGAGGTGCCAAGGGGTCCCAGGGAGAGAGATCCATGGGTGGAGGATTCCCATGAGGGTGCCTAGGGAGAGAGGGGTGCCAGCCGGTGCCAACGGGGGGGGGGGAGGGTGCCCCCGACTGCCACTGTTGTAATGGAACCACGTGACCCGATGTATCTATGCCTAAAATCTCTCTCAGTTCATTTGCGTTGACTGGCAGCAGTGAGTAATGATGATAAAGATGAATAATGGCGATAAATAGTGATAATGAAAAATAATAAGAAAAATAGTAGTAAGGAAAAATTGCAATAACGAAAAATAGTAAATAATGAAGAATAATAGAAATGTGATAATTGAAAAATGATAAGAAAAATAGTAATAATGAACAACTTAATAATGAAAAATCGTAATAATGAACAATTTAATAATGAAAAATAGTAATAAGTAAAAATTTGGATAATGAAAAATAATACTAATGAAAAAAATAGCAATAATGAAAAAAATAACAATGAAAAATAGTGACAATGAAAAGTGATAATGATAAATAGCAGTAATAATTTTAAAAAATATATATAATGAAAATATTAATAAAGATGAATAGTGGTAATGAAATAAAGATATAACAAATATTGATAATGAAAACAGTATTAATGCGAAATATTAATGATAAAAACCAGTATCAATAAAAAAAAACATTTGTATAAATCACCAATAATGAAGAAATAGTAAAAAAAAGTTAGAATATAAAACAGTATATTGAGTGATAAGAATGAAGAAATAATATATTCTTCAGTATATCTTATATATATATCTTTACAATCGGTTATAAATTCTATTTTCTTAATAAAATCAATTTTCATTAAACCTTGCTAGTGAAGAATAAAAAAATATATATATTACAAAAGTACTAAATGATATTCTTCTCAGAGTTCTGGTCGTCAGTGAATATGACACACATGACACGTATGACAGACAGTTAGTCAATAGGGTGTAAACAAGACCCCCCCTCCCCCCTCCTAGTCCGTATTCCCCCTCCTCCTCCTCCTCATCGCTCTCTCTCTCTTGTTCTCTCTCCTTTTCTTGCTCTTTATTTATTTCGTCTCTTTTCTCTTTCTTTCTCTCTTTCTCTCTCTAGCTTCTCTCTCTTTTTTACTTCAACCCTTTCTCATCATTCTTTTCTTGCTTCCATTTTCTTCTTTCTTCTTTTTTTCTGCTCCTTCCTCTCATTTTTTTCTTCCTCCTTCATTCTCGCCTCTCCCTGTTCCTCCATTCATCTCTTTTTTTCTTCTTTCATACTCCCTCCTGACCTTCTTTTTTCCCTCCCTCCTCGCTCCTCCCTCCCCTCCCTCCTGCTACCCTGCTCTTTCTCCCATTCCTTTCTTTTTTTCCATATCATCTTTTTCCCTCTTCCCTCCTCCAGTACCACTCCTACCTCCCATAATTACCCTCCCCTCCAATCCCATACCCTTCCTTACCTCCTCCCCTCCTCCACCTCCTCCTCTCCCCTCCCTCCCTTCCCTCCCCATACCCCTCCCCTCTACACCCACACCCACCCTTCTCTCTCCTCCCCACACTACCTCTACCCTCCCTCTTCTCAACTCCCTTCCCCTCACACCCCCTCCTCCCCTACCCTATCTCTCTTACCTCTCCTCCTCCCTCTCTTCCCCTTCCCTCCCTCCGCTCCCTCCTCCCCCCCTCTCCCCCTTTACCCCTCTCCATTTCATAAAGAAGTTTTTCAATAGCTCACCGTTCACCTGACGGGCGGTTCTTGACACCTTGATGCTTGCGTTCTTCTCTTGCGTCGGGAAGCGGGGGGTGGGTGGGGTGGGTATGGGGGTATGAGGGGAAGGAGGCATGGGGGAGGAGTGTGGGAGAGAGAGAGAGAACTGAAGATTGATGGGGTGGGAGAGAGAGAGGGAAGAGGAGATGAGGAGAGGGAGGGGGGGAGGGTAGAGAAGAGGGAGAGGGAGGGGGAGGGGAAGGAGAAGGGAAGGAGGGAGGGGAGGGTGAGATGGAGGGAGGGGGGGGAGAGGAGGGATGAAGGAGGGATGAGAGAGAGAGAGAGAGAGAGAGAGAGAGAGAGAGAGAGAGAGAGAGAGAGAGAGAGAGAGAGAGAGAGAGAGAGAGAGAGAGAGAGAGCAAGGAAAAGATGTGGTTATTTAGGATAAAATTATTCTCTCTCTGTCTCTGTATACATCATACATACATATATATATATATATATATATATATATATATATATATATATATATATATATATATATATATTCCATGTATGTATCATTTTTAATATTTATCTATATATACTGTACACGCGGTGTGTGCGTGTATGTTTGTATCTTTGTTTAAGTCCGTGGGTATGTGTGCATATACTGTATAGAAATACAATACCACAAAAAAAATTCTGTCTATATCCTATACCCTGTTTCAGTATTTCAAATTGAGCAACAGACACAAATTCAAAGATTTTTTTTTTTTAAAAACAACTTTCAGTCAGCCTCGATTTCCTTCCATAAATCGGAAACAAGCAAATGACAATATTTCGCGAGGTCAGACGATAAATAGTAACCGAGATTGACCTACTACGTGACCCTGTGACCTGACCTGCCTTTGAAAACCCCACCTCGCTTTACCTCACCGCGCCCTAGGGTCAAGATCTTAAATCCTTGGGCAGGGCATGACATTCTTTAAGAAAATGTTTAGCGAATTCTTGCTATATATAGTAACACATTTCGCTCAAGTTCTTAATAATAATCACAGGAATACTGATGGGAAAAAATAGATAATAAATTTAGTATATTTGAAATACATCCTTTTACGAAAAAAACATTATTTTACAATTTGATATATTTACTTCGAAAGAAATATTCCAAAAAAAAAAAAAAAAATACAAGATGGAGTAAAACACAAGAAAAACGCTCAAAATCTCATCTGTTCGCCACCTTCGGAATGTAAAATTTGTCCTAAAACAATAAAAAAAAGCTGCTCATTTTACCATGGGAAAGTGTCCTCGTAACAGACGGTCCTATGTAGGGGAAGCACGCCCGTGTTCTCCAAGTGTTTCCCCTGCAAGGAATTCATCTGTTTCTCATCAAGGGAAGGAACGAAGGGAGGAGGAGAGGGGAGGAGGAGGAGGAGGGGGGAGGAGGAGGAGGTAGATGGGGGAGGTAGGAGGCGGAGGGAGGGAGGGCGAGACACGGGGGAAAAAAAAGAGATACTTGTTTTATTCCTTGTTTCTCCTTGTTTTTCCTAAGTGTATATCTCGGTGCTTTGGGGGGAAAATATCAGTCTGTATTATTATTCTCATGAGGACTTTATTTCAATGTGGTTTTCCACGTGCATGACTCATTTTCCTTCACTTTCTCTCATTTTCTGCCGAAGCGTGGACAAGGGGCTCGCACATTCCATCACTGTCATTAACTTTTCCTTATTTTTTATCAATTATTTTCTAGGCCTAAATACGTATAATTCTCTTAAAAGTCTTTCATCAGAGTAAAGTAGATTTGTTATTCTTATTACTGATGCAGATTAATAAAATTCTCTACAGAAATGCCGTAGAAATGACTTAGAGATTTAAGATCTTGCGCTGTGTGGTATCTCGTGAGGGGATGGCGGGCAACTGCCTGCGGCGAAAACATTAATGGGGTTAAAATCGTATATATCTCCTATATATACTTTCTCTCTAAACATAAAATGAAAGAATAATTATAAAATATATCAAAAAGAGATGTAACTTAGTCTAAAATAAAAGCTACCTAAGCCTACATCGCGATAACCAAAGGCAGGGAAAACTTGGGCATGTCCCTCACGAACCCGAAAAAAAAGTTACAAGTTCACGTTTTCATATCAAGGCGACACGAAGCGTTCTGGCACATTTTCGTTCGCCATGAGGGGCAGGTGTTGGAACCGCGTAGCCAGGGCTCGGTCTACACATGGCGTACGAATTCCAGAGTCCTGGGAACGGCGATCTCAGCTACGTTCTCACGGTGCCCTCGGGGGTGTTGCCGGGCGCGACGATTCGCGTTTTTGAATTCCCCGTTCGAGGCTTGGGCGCTTTTTTAAACTTATTTTTCGGGACCAACATGTAGGGTATAGAACGTAGATTGATTATGATAGAAAAATATCTATATTTGATATTGTTAGAGGTGGAAGTAATAAGGAAATGTTATTTTGACTGGCGGTCTCTGGCAGCGCATACCCTCTGCCCGCGGCGCAGCTCGTGTCGCGCACACACCTGCCACGAGGCATCACGTGCCCGTGACGTCACTGGACGGGCGCGTATAAATACCCGCGCGGCCGAGCGGAGTCAGCATACTCATTCCAACTCTCGAGTCGTACACAACCACTCGCTCTACTAACTCATCCAACATGGCTGTTACTGGCAACAAGAAGACTTCGGTTTTCAGCATCCACAGCCTGAAGAAGGCTATCAAGAAGCTTATTAAGAAGACTCGCCCTGCCAAGGAGGAGAAGAAGGTCGCCGAGGAGGTGGTCCGTGTGGACTTCGAGGCCGAGATCGAGGACAACCTGGCCAACGAAGCTCTCGAAGCCCGCCTCCTGCAGATGATCGAAGCCTCCCCCGCCACCCTCGACCTCGACCTCAACCTGAGCGTCAAGGGATCCCTCATGGTGAAGGCCGCCCCCGACTTCGAGATCCAGTTCGGAACCTTCTGGACCACCGAAGACGACAAGAGCTGGACTCTGTGCAAGGACCTCTTCGCCACCACGCCCCGCCCCGCCAACACGGCCTAAGACCCGCCAGCCTCCCCCCGAACACCGCCGACCTACTGCTGTGATGTGTCTGCCCTGTGATAGGGGCGTGTACAAGTGCCGTGATGTGATATTACTGTGCCACCCTGGGGGGGAACCGTCGCCGCCCTCGACCGTGCTTAGCGCCTCTGAGGACCTACAGCGCCTTCTACACGAGAGGACCGGCCACACCCCACCCCCCCGGAGGACGCTGCGGGCTCTGCTGTCTGCCTTTGGAGTTCCTGCGGCGCCGCCTGTGATAGGATAGGACCTCTGCAAGAACTTATCCCAAGCCAAGTCTTAACCGGACCTGGCAGAGCTGTGATATTGAGGAGGAAAAGCTTCAGCCTTTTCGCCGATCTTCTGTGATACTACTTCTAAGGAATAATTTATTCATGAAATAAAAACAAAATTAAATTTACTCCACTCTTTTCCTTAAACCAAAACCCCATCCTCACATACACTAATAACTAAAATACAAAAGTAAACTAAAATGAAAGAAATTAATAAGAATGAGAATACATAATACAAATCAAAAGTATGAAAAAGTATATTAAAAAGAAATTACAAAGACGAAAATTAAGACTAAGTAAAAATATATATGAAACTATAAAATATAATGAAAACTTTTACATCAATTCATATAAAAAAAAATCCACATTTCAAAATCCCACACAAGAAAATACTTATATATAAAAAGAAACAACCAAAATGAGAAAAAAAGTACCTGATATTCTAAGGTACAGGTACATGAATAACGTCCCAGACCGAATTTTGAGAAACTTTTGTACCTGTCGGGTCGGTTGGGGGATTTTAGAAGGGCGAAGGGGGGGCGGGGGGGGGAGAGAAGGGAGGATTAAAGAGAGTGAGGTCCGCGTGGTCAGTTTCCATGGCAACGGCGTCCCCAAGCGTAAACAAGCCCCGAGAAAGGAGACACCCACTCAACGAAGGAACGCATGGTCTCATACCCGCTAAAACGTACCCACGCTCTATGTAATTCGTTAATTATATGCTATACATCACATCAAATCATTAGTATTTATGTTTATGAGGATATATCCGTTTTCGAAGTAAGAAAAAGCGTTAGGAATGAGGTTGAAAAGATGAGGGTTCACTATAAGCGAGGGCGGTACCTCAGGTTTGGTACCCGCTACCCACGCCGCCCATCCCGCACCGTGGTATCAGGACAAGCCACGCTCACCTTGGAAATACCGCGTGTCTTGGTACCATTGAGGTTTGTTCGTGTATATTAAGGGAATATATATTTTACGCTTGGTTGTTGAATAATGATGGAATGTGTAATGAATTTCTTTATTACACAATAAGATTGATTTGCCATTTAAAATCATGAATTTAAAGTATTGTAGGCAATTATACGGCATGATATGTGATTTAATTCATGAAGAGAGTATAACAAACTAAATAATATCATTGATATTCCTTAATATAAGGTCTACCTATCAATCTAGTCTTTATATTTAATATCAGTCAGTCTATGATATACATATTCCCTTCCATTTATCAGGTTCAGTAGGTATCGTTGGGAATTTTAATAACATCTAATAAGTCACAAGAATCCATTAGCATAACCACACTAAACCATCCAAATAATTAAGGTTTATTATTAATTCAAAAGAAATTTTTTCAATCCTTCATCGTCTAAAAAAATATGCGGGTTCTTTATTATGCAAATTGAGGAACAAATTTCACCTGCCAACCGGAGGAGGAGAACAGCAGAGAACATTACCATACAGCTTCCTTTAACCACAAGAGAAGAGCCAAGGAGACGTCACAGCTGATGGATCGAGTTGGGAGAAAATGCAATTACGTTTTGTTTAGTCTCCGCTTTCGAGGTTGCTTTTGATAATGATTATTTTCTCTCTCTCTCTTTTTCTTTTTCTTTCTTTCTTTTTCTCTCTCTGTATCTCTGTCTCTGTCTCTGTTTCTCTGTCTCTGTCTCTCTCTGTCTCTGTCTCTGTCTCTGTCTCTGTTTCTCTCTCTGTCTCTGTTTCTCTCTCTGTCTCTGTTTCTCTCTCTGTCTCTGTTTCTTCTCTGTCCTGTTCTCTCTCTCTCTCTCTCTCTCTCTCTCTCTCTCTCTCTCTCTCTCTCTCTCTCTCTCTCTCTCTCTCTATCTCTCTCTCTCTCTCTCTCTCCTCTCTCTCTCTCTCTCCTTTTCTTTCTCTTTTTTTCATCTTGTATACAGAGCGTGATATGCGTTTTATCTTTCAGATCTAATTAGAAGTATATATATATATATATATATATATATATATATATATATATAATTATATATATATTTTTGTGTGTGTGTGTGTGTGTTGTGTGTGTGTGTGTGTGTGTGTGTGTGTGTGTGTGTGTGTGTGTGTTGTACAGATAGATATATATAAACATTGTTATTTATATTTATCTTTTTCTATTCATCTGTAACAAAGGTTCTTATACATATTATCACTGACATGATTCCTGGTTCTCATACGATTTATACTTCACTGTCTACCCTCACCCGCCCATCACTGTTATAAATACCAATAATTCCTTACATACACAACCTCACTACAACCTCCAAGCATCTTCAAAACGAGAAATAGATC